TTCGAAGATGATAGATTCTCTTTTCAAAGATGAACGCTTTATTGGATTTTTACACAAGTCCAAACTAAGAAAGCCGATGTTATCAAAGACAAAATGGGGCATCAAGGTCAGATTTCTGATTACGGCAAGAGTTCCATAAATGAAACTTTTCTTCTGAGACTTTCATGAAGCAAAGAAGATACAAAGATACAAGCTGACTAGATGGTTCTTCAGAAAGGAAATATAGCATAAGTTGCTACACTGATATCCAAAGGTAACCCTGGAAATAAATGATCAAGTGAAGGAAGACCGAGTTCGTCACTTTGAAGTCAAATGAAGATTGCATTAACATTTATGCATTCATAAGAACACCATTTACACAATAGACAATGCATTACATTGATACATCTGAGTGCATTCAAACATGAAGTTTTACAGATCTTCGTATGAAAAAGAAGATTCATGATGAAAATACCTTACAAGAAGAATGTAGAATTCAAAACCTCAAATACAGGAATCACGCAAACATCTGAAGAAAAGATGGACGCAATCCACAAGAATGAGTATTATCTTGAGATTGGGGCATGTTACCCAAACAACATGTTATTTTGAAAAATAATGAGAAAACGATTTCCAAAGTTTCTCATTTAATCTTTTCTAAAAATGAAATTGTTGAATAGTAAGAAAACGATTTCCATAGTTTCTTACTTAGTAAACTATTTCTCACATCCATAAGACCTGCAGTGCAGGATGTTTTCAAAAAGCCTTCGGGAGCTTTTTGATATTTTCGAAACCTTCGGGTCATCTGTAAGCCCTTCAGTGCATGATGCTTTCAAAACCTTCGGGTCATCCATAAGACCTGCAGTGCAAAATGTTTTCAAAAAGCCTTCGGGAGCTTTTTGATATTTTCAAAACATTCGGGTTATCTGTAAGACCTATAGTGCATGATGTTTTCAAAAAGCCTTCGAGAGTTTTTTGATATTTTCAAAACCTTCGGGTCATCTGTAAGACCTACAGTGCAGGATGTTTTCAAAAAGCCTTCGGGAGCTTTTTGATATTTTCAAAACCTCAGGGCCATTTATAAGACATCTGGACAAAATGTTTTCAATATTTCCATCTTACTCAAAAGAAGCTAAATGAAAAAATTATTGTTTTTTTTCGTCTTTGCTCTATTCTTATTAACACAAAAATGAGCAAAGAGGGGCAGCTGTAAACACTAATTTTTTCATAATATTTTTATTTTTATTATTATTATTATTAAAATTATTATTATTATTATATATTATTATTATTATTATTATTATTAAAAATATAATTTAAAAGGCCCAAAATCGGAGCCCGTTTCCCTGCCAGGCCAACCCACTAGGCCCAGCAAGATATAACCCATTTAGGGTTACTGCTAGGGTTTCTAAACCCTAGCTACCAACCACCACCTTGGACAAAAGGAGCTCTCAGCCACCTCTGCCACGTCACTGCCAACGTTCCCACTGCCAGGTGACCCAATCCGCTGCAACCACGATGTCGTCGCCTCGATGAAACCTCCAGAAGAGCCAGCTGCCCCCCACGTCGAGCTCTATGGTGAGTCACCACCATAGCTATGGTGACTCACCGAGAAACCCTGTTGTGACCAGTCTGAATGGCGTTCGTGGTGGCTATAAAAGCCACCGATCCTACAGAGAAGAGACAACAACGACAAGGAGAGAAAAAGAGAAAAAAAAAAGAAATAACGAGGGCAACCAACCACGACAGCAAGCAAACAACACATCAACGAGAAGAGAAAAAAAAGAGAGTGTAATAGTTTACCATCATCAGAACCCCAAATCGCCATCAAACCCCCAAAGAACCGAAGGTATTAACCTAGATCTAGAAAATATTAAGGGGTTTTAAGGAGAAAATGAGGCTAGATTCGGCTTTTGGTGTTTTAGATCTTTAAGGTGGGGTAATTTTGTATATTCCGGCCACCGTAGGTGGTGGCCGGCGGGGTAACCGACGTCGGAGCACGGCTGTCGGTCGCCTTAAGCGGACCTTAAGGGCCCTTAAGGGCCGACCATTGGGTTTATATACCCCTTCCCAAATGCCACCATTTTAGGAGGGGTATGTGTGTAATTTCACTAATGGCCAAACCTTTTCCGCAATACTCACTATTTTGAAACTTTGCATTATAGTCACTTAAATCAACTTTCAATTCTTTTAATTCGATCTTTAAATTTTGTTAAAATTATAATTTAATCCCTTACATGTTTATATATATGGTAAAATAACATATTTAGAACATTAATTTTGTAAACTTCTATATCAGTCATCGAATTAAAATTATGGACATTTATAATTTTATATTCGAAGTTTATTTTATTTCAAATTAATCCTTTCTTGTTTATATATATATATATATATATATATATATATATATATATATTAGGATAAATATCACAATTAGTCCTTTTAATTTTATTATTATTATTCTTAATCTCGATTAATAATTTAGGATAAATATTATGATTCACCCATTATAATTTTATTAAATTTATATTTGTCCCATATTAATATTTAGTGTTAAATTACACTCTTAATGTCTATACTATATAATATTTATAACTATGTCAATTAATTGTTTATATTTTATAATTTAATAACTGACTTTTATATAATTCTAATTTTGACCATAGGTTTTATATATTTTGCAATTTAATTTTATAAGTTTAGTTTCTTTTATTTTGATCTTTATTTATTTGCAATTTTATTTTGTTTTTTTATTACTTTCAATATGTTTAAATTATTACTTTCATTATTATTTTATTTTCATCTTAGTCATATAAAAATATAATTAGTAATATTTATTTTATTTTTATATATATTAAATAAAAATCCTATTAATAAATTTAATTTTATATAAATTATTTTAATATTTGTTTATTTTTTAATATTAAGAAATTGGCTGTCTTAAAGTACCTAGAAGTCCTTTTATGATATTCTTAAATAAATAAATATCCTATTTTTATAAATTATATACTAATTTATTTTAATTATTATTTTATTAATATTTATTTATTTTTTTAATATTAAGAAATGGGCTGTCTTAAAACACATAGAAGTCATTTTCTGATATTTCTAAGTAAATAAATATCTTATTAATATATTTTCTTAAAGTTATATTAATAAATTTAAAATAACATGACTATGAATTAAATATATTTTTAAATTTTTAAATTTCCAAAAATAGAGACAATTTATAGGTAATGAGTACCAATTTTAGGCTTTGTGGGGTTGCTAATCATTCCCTAAACGTAATCGATCACAAATCCCTTTTTATTATTAAAAAGAAAGAATTTTTGGTTAAAACGCAGACCAGTTTATCTTTTAACTGATGTTTTCTTAAAAACTATTTTAAAATATAATTTTTAGTTATTCGACCTACCTGACCCAAAAGGCCGATGGCGACTCCCAAAACATTTTAAAAATCATTTATTCACATCATTTTTCCCGCCAAGTAAAAATTTCGTACCCGGGCGAAAACCGATTACGACACCTGCAAAAGCACTTACAATTTAGACATCACATTCAAAAAGTTCACCATTGATGATAACAGCTGCGGTTCGTAAAGATCTCAAATCAGTCAGCAACTGAGGGAGAAGTATACTAATAATTTATTGTTCACTTTCACAGCAAAGATAATTTCAATTACATAAATGAATCCTACCACTGCTAGAGTTTAGGGAATAGTTCCATTTCAAAAGGAACAAGAGAGGGTAAAGTTCTTAATAATCATCACATATTTTCAATAACCAAATTCTTTGCAACCATTGACTATCAATTCACAAAAGGCAAAAACAAGATTCTTAAACATCAATTCATCTATTTACATCAACCTATTATTAATGAAACTTTATTTTTCTATGACAACTGAGATCCGTTTATTGTCCTCCAAAGCATTAAGGGATTGAGAATTCAAATCTTCTGTAGCTCTGAGATGTCTTTTGTTTTTTATTATGTTACACTGCCAGAATTGGTTTCAGAGCTCTGGGGCTGCTATCATCTGCAGAAGGTGCACTCAGATTGCAGAAGAATGTTGTGTTAAAACATTTTGTTCTCAAACCAACTCATGAAGAAAAGACATTTTATCTCTTTCAAATACAACGGAAGATTCTGATCCATGCAGGTTAGAAACGACAGCGAGAACTACAGCCATTTTGACAAATTTAACAGTATATTCTTTTCCTCCTCTACAATTAAGTACACCTTTCAATAAATCAAGGAAGAGGAGGGCTGTAACTATGTTATCTGAACTCGGGGATGAGTGGTCATTTTTGTGACATAAGAATACCCAATTCTTTTCCAAGGTTAGGTTATCCCATATATCTCGAAGACCATATCCATATTAATGCCCGAAAATGGGTCGGACACTTAGAAAAAGAATCGAAAAGCCAAGGTAACACAGTGCAAAGGAACACAATCACAATTCCCAACCATTATATAAGTTTCTTGTAACTAACAAACATTAAGAATTTGCGTAAGAAAATGTAAAATCAACATTGGCTATAAACCTCTTTCATTCATGAACTAAAGATTGGCTATGGTCTTAATTTTTTTTTTCGAAATAAAGAATCCTCTTTTAATGCATCCTAAACTGTTGCTGAATGACCAAACTCTGAAAATCGGAAATCCCAAAAATAGGTAGTGTGCAATGCATAGCTAGCAAGAAACTCCCAACACCATCTTAGAAATCATACAAAAATTTTCTCACAATTTCCAGAATTTGAGTTCACACTACATAAAATTCAATTGATCATATCAACTTCATCTTAATTAACATCTTCTAAGAAAACCACGTGTTTTATTAACTAAATAATACATAAATCTAATTCGAAAGAATTAAGACCAATTTATTGGAGAAAGAATTAATTGAGATTAGTCGGATGCAAAATGAGGAAATCACCTATTGAGAAGTCGAATTATAAGCACTGATGCTGTTATAATATCTGGAAAATCGACGAGGCGGCGGCTTAGATTTAGCCCTTTTTTTCTTCAGACCCAAAATTTCTTGAACCAGTGGCACGTGTACCAGACTAACTTCCATGCCAACAACCACCCTATAATTTTGTGAATAAATTCCAAGAATAGTAAAACGGTAATCATCAGCAAACTCAATCCTTAAATTACGAATAAGAAAAGAGCGAATAAAGAGAGAGAGAAATTACAGAGTATGATGAAGGAGAGGACGAAAAGGATAGCGAGAACCGGCCGAAATAGAAGAAAATTTAGATAATTCCATTGAGAAAGAAAATTTGATGAAGACGAAGACTCCATTGACGACAACGAAGGTAGCAGAAGCGTGAACCACTGAAGGAGAAAAAGCTTTTCATCCTTATTCCTACTCTGGGCTGGACTTCAATTTCGTGGTTTTTTCGGCCAAATAGCTCAAGCGGGTAAATCAATTTCTTGGTTTTTTTTTTTGGCTCAATACATCAAGCGGATAAAATATTTAGGGTATTGGGCCTAGGGGTGTAAACGAGCCGAGTCGAGCTCGAGTATTGCTGAGCTCGACTCGACTCGAAAACTCTGAAATGGAGCTCGACTCGACTCGAAAACTCGCGAGCTTAAAATTTTCAAGTTCGACTCGAACTCGAAATCCTGAACTGAAGCTCGGGAGCAGCTCGAAAAGGCTCAAAATGAAAAAAAAAAAAATTCTTAAACTTAACTCGATTAAAGCCTCAAACTCGAACATGAACCTTAAATACATGAAATCTTATTGTATTTTAAAAAAAATCAATACATAAATATTAATATTATTATTAATTTATTTTTTTAAAATAAAATCTTAATATATTATATTTTCGAGCTGCTCACGAGCTTTTCGAGTCGAATATCGAGTAGCTCGTTTCAGCTCGTTAAGAACTCGAGTCGAGCTCGAGCTCGAGTCCATTCGATCCGAGTATTTATCGAGCCTTGATCGAGTCGATCTCGAATAGCTCGCGATCTGTCTCGTCTCATTTACAGCCCTAATTGGGCCTACCAAACATTATTTAGCAAAATACGACATTTGTTACAGTCCAGACAGAACTCGTCACCTCATGTGATATTATTTTTAATAGTTTACACGTAGTGAGCACCACTTGGGCTATTTTTTTAATGGCTTAATAATGACTTGTCATATCGAGGTGACGAGTCCATTAAAAAAATATTTTTTTAAAAAATTCTAAGAAAAAAATAAATTTAGAAAATAAAAAAATTCGAAGGAACTCATCATCTCGACATGACGAGTTCCTTCGAATTAAAAAAAACTAGTCCTTGACTAGCCATTGTTCAATGGGTAAATAGAGCAACAGTCACTTGGAACTCGTCACCTCGAGATGACGAGTTCCTCCAGGGATAATTTTAAAAAATAAAACTAAAAGAAAAATCAATTTATTTAAATTTTATGAAATACAAAGTAAATTAATTGTAAAAAATAATTTTTTACATGAAAATAACAAAGAAAATTTATCTATGTTCTCTAAGTTCTTGACGATGCAGCGGAGTGGTGGAATGATAATGCCATTGGGGTTGTCGAGTACGCCAGATTCGTAGGCCTTGATCTTCATCTTCTTCATTGTCGTCTTTCCGAGAAGGTGTACCCAACACACTATGTGACCCACCTTCAAAATACAATGATGGATTTATGATATTTGACGCCATCATTGCTGTAACTGCTTCCACTTGGCTGGAACTTTGTTAACCATATAGGATATGGTCTTAGTCACCCGCAACCGCATGTTCTGTCAAAGAAGCTTGAGTGTACTGCGGTGCAACCCATGAACCTCCAACCCAATTCGGTCGAGTCTCGGCTGAAGTATGATATAGAGGAAAGAAACCGAAACTAGCCTGAGATGCATGATAATACTCTTCAGTCGTAGATGCTGAAGCGGAAGACAACAACGACGATGTTTTCTTCTTGGACTTGGACTTGGTGCATGTGGCCTGATGATGTTGCCATTTTGCCATCTCTTCCGATCTCGTGAGATATGGTTTGCCATTTTCTTCGTAAAGTAGTAGATAAGGAGAATGGTCGAAATCTAAGTCCAACAGTGTAATGTCCTGACGATGAGGGAGCGATAGTTCATGTTGATTCCATAGGTTGATGTAGTAAGCGTGTCGCACCGACCAATTTTCATTATGTTTCCCAAGCATATCAATTGTATGAAACGCGTCCATATCAACCTCCATTTGCATAGGAATCGGCTGGTGCGTCGCAAACTGGCGCATCACTCTATCAGTCGCGTGCCACTCAACAATCGCTTGGTGCAATAACGGCTTCACGACACACCATAAGTGAGACCCCTCAAGAAATCTCCCCAACAATACATGTTGGATCTCTTCGTCGTTATACGGAAGCCAAGAGAATTGTAAATATTAAATATCAAAGTTAGTATATATAAAGTTAAAAAGATTACAAAATTAATTTTGTATGTCATACTGCTAATCGACCGGTGATGTCGATGTCGATCCTCATACGTATGTCTCGTGCAGTGACACCCGCCAACTTCTTCTCTGATATTTTGTGGCACCATCTAAAATATTTAAAAATAAAAAATATATAAGCAAATAAATAAATTTATGAAATTAAAAAAAAAAAGTCAAATAAATGAAGTTAAACAATTACCTTCCAACCAGCTGAAACTCGACCGGGGCATCTGTAATTGGCGTAAAAAATGGGAAGTGATACAATTGCATCCTTGCAGAGCTCCCGGTACAGAAAGGCTCCCAACTGGTATTACAACACACAACAAAGTCTTTCAAAATTTGCAAATAATGAGTGTGCACCATATTACTGAATTTATCCGATAATAATATCCCTCCGATCACTTGGAGAAGAAATACTCGAGACGCGAAAACAACCTTTTCCTCAGTAGACTCGACAATCACTTCGAATTTGGACTCCAATCATGTTATCATTACTCGATAGTCCTTCATGACGTCGGATGATGGTCATTTTCCCAGAACTTGGAGGACCAACGTCGAGGGGTCGTATACGTTCTCCCTCACCACAGGGGATCTATATACAGGAACATCGAGTTGGTAAACGATGTCTTCCAAAGTAATCATTGCTTTACCACTCGGGAAATGAAAGGTGTGCGTCTCGGGGTGCCTATGTTCGATTAGAGCCTTTATCAATGTCGGGTACACCTTGAAGCCACATAAAAATATAATTGTAAATAGATCGGATTGATGTATATATGTCATCATCCGCTAATGCGACTCCTTGGTTATCATCCCTCGACTATGAATATTTCATTCGTTTTCTGGCCAACGTTAGATTTATGAAACATGGGCGTTATCCAGGCGCAACATATATTCTCGGGTTTCCATTTTTTGAGATTTTCGCACAACGTATGTTTTTTTTTCATTTTTTTTGGATTTAGGGTTTGGTGAAAGACCAAAAACCCAAACCCTTATTTATAACTTTCCCCCCAACGACTTTAAACGACTAGTTTTTTGAAATCTTCGGCCGAACTTTCCACCTCGAGGTGACGAGTTCCAAGTTACCGTTAGCCCGAACGGCTATAAACCGTTACCTCGAGGTGACCGTTAAACAACAACTAGTTTTTTTAATAAGCCATTAAAATAATAACCCACGTGGTGCCCACTACGCGTGGACAATTAAAAAATAATATCACACTACACGTGGTGACGACGAGTTTTGTCTGGACTCTAGCAAATGTCGTGTTTTGCTAAATAATATTTGAGTAGGCTCAATACCCTAAATATTTTACCCGTCTGGGGTATTGGGCCAAAAAACTCAATTTATTGGGTTGTTCATTCACTCATTCGGTTTGTTTGGCCCATAAGATAAACGGGTAAATTATTTGGGAAAATAGGGCAAGTAGAAGCTTATACTGGGATCTACAGTATATATAGAATTCCTCACCTCGACATGACGAGTGCTAATAAAAAATATTTTTTTATTTAAACTCGTCATGATAATATGACGAGTTCCAATAAAATATATTTTTTAAATTAAATTTATCACATCAAAGTAAAAATTTTGAATAATTTTTTATTTAAATTCGTCGCCTTATAGTGACGAGCTCTAAATCACTCTAATATATGTTATAAATCCTGAAATAAACTTCTATATGTCCCCCTTAGGATAATTAATTAAACGGTTTGTCCTCTTGGGAGAAAACCCACTCATTCTATATTAACACAAACTTGATAGAAAGTGAAAGATAAACCAATTATCTTGTTTCAATATTCCCGACGTCTTTTACTATTTTAAAGTTTCACTTTAATTTTATATTTTTACTTTTATAAAATTATAATTTTTTAGTATTTTTATTTAAAAGTATTGGTATAATTTTTATTTAATTTTATCATTAATGATTTACCTAATAATTGTAAAAAAAGATTATATAGTTTTTAGTTTTTAGATTTATACTTTTTATCAAATAGTCTATTAATATATATATAATTAAAATTTTATATAATTTAATTAATAATATTTTTTATTTATTGTTAAGATTGGGATTCAAATTAATAAAAGTTATAAATGTGAAGGTTGAAAAATATTTTATATTTTTATAATTGTCAGATTAATAATTAACAGTAAAATTAATCATAAATTAGAAAATGATCAAAATTTCAAATAAAAATAGTATAAAATTCAAATTTATAGAAATAGTTAAAATAAAATTAAAAATAATAGATAATCTTCATATATTTTTTAAACCATAATTATTATTATTTGGCTAGTCAACAAAAACAATGGAAAATGCTAACTAGTTCATATTAAACTTGGAAGAGTTTGGTATTTTTTTTATCAAATTTAATCATTTGCAATTTGAATGATATAACTCTTATTATAAAAGGTGGTACAGTAATTTAAAAGAAAAGCTAAGAAACAGTTATATAACTAAAGATTTTTTATGTCCTAAACTATGATGAAATCGCTCCCTTGTGTTGCTGACTAAATGAATTCACCTTAAATCCATACAAAAGTTAATAGGATAAAAAACTTGGAAACTGATTTGTTTCATGAATGAATTTCAAATAAACAATGTTTATAACATTGAGGTTGAAGAAAGATCAATTTACAATTGAATTTGAGTGTAATTATTGTAGGTGTAGTTAGGGACGGACACAAAATTGTATGTTGAAGAATAAACTTATAAAAAATTTAGGAGCGGTAGATTTATAACATTTTAGAAGACGAAAATATATTATCAATAAGAAATAAAAAAAATATTTAAAATATATAAGAATTTGAAATTTTCAAGGGGACAGTTGCCTTCACCCATCCATTAAATAGAGAAATTATTACATGAGCCCTTTTCACCATCTCATCTATGGTCCCTAACCAATTAAATGAGCACACGTCACATTTATTTTCCATATCACATTTCCTTATAAATTAAAATTTCCAAATCATTATCTTCTTCTTTATCTCATATTCTCATTCCTCAATCTTAAAGCATAAAATCTCCATGTTTTGCTCTACTCTTTCTTTAATCCATCATTTTAATCTAAATTGAAAATAACCATCTTCTTCTTTATCCAATACTTTTCTTTCTCAATCTTAAGCATAAAATCTCCATGTTTTGTTATGCTCTTTCTTTGGTTCACCATTATAATCAAGATTTAAAATCAATACAAAATTTTAAATTTCTTTCGAATTTATAATCAAATTTTTATATATTTTTATATTTCTTGTTTTTTCTTAACCAACAAAATCTCATTAAAAAAGATATATGAGAACTTCTAGATTGATGTATGGTACATGTGAATTTCCTTTTATATGGCACTATTGAAAATTCTCATGGCAAACAAAGAAGTGATGCTTAAGGAGAGATTCAAGATATAAAAGCACCTTTAAAACCCAAGCACAATACGCAACTTTTGCTCAAACATACCTATGAAGTCTTTTACATATAAACAAGTCTTTGACTGAACCAAGAACTGAAAAAATGGGGTTTTGTCCACAAGCACCAAATTTTTGCATGATTGTTGGAAGGAGGTTATGAATGTTGAAATTAAAGTTTTGGAAGACAATAAAACTTGGGGTTTAGTTCATATAGGGGTGTTCAAATGGTTAATTCGGTCACCGACCTTTCTTTAACCGTTAATCGAATTGAACTTTTTTTTGAAAATATTAATTGAACCAAACAAAGTTCGGTTATTTTGGTTGGTTAACCGAATTAACCGATTTTTTTTATAATTTTAATAATTAGATTAATAAAATATAATAGATGTATAATTTTTATTTGAGTTAAAAATTAATTAGGTATTAATAATTTAATGAGTCTAGTGTGATTAAAAAAATAATCGGGTATTAATCTTTAATGGGTTTGAGCTTAAAATATATTTATAATATATGTAATATTTAATAATTTCGGTTAATTCGGTTAATTAACCGATTTTGAACTGAATTAATCGTTAACCGAATATTGAAAAAAGTATTAACCGTTCCCCGACCGAACTAGTTTGGTGGCCGATCGAATTAATTGAACTAATTCGGTTTTATCGGTTAATTCGATTAAAACCGAATAGTGAACTCCCCTAAGCTCAGCTTCCTAAAGGCAAATAAACAATAGGTTGTAAGTGGGTTTATAAGACTAAACTTAGATCTGACGGGGCTTAAGAGAGATACAAAGCTAGGTTGGTTGCAAAAAGATACACTCAAAAATCATGAATTGATTTTCTTAACACTTATAGTCCTGTAGCAAGGATAATAACTATAAGAACTCTTTTAGCTATTGCTGCAGCAAGGAAAAGGAATTGGTGTCAACTAGAAATTAATAATGATTTTTTGCTTGAAGATTTACAAGAGGTATATATGGATTTACCTCCTGGCTTTCGTTGTACTCAGTCTAATGTTGTTTATAAGCTCAATAAAAGATTGTATGGATTGAAACAAGCTAGTAGAAAGTGGAATGAGAAATTAACTAGTTCTTTACTTGCTCAAAATTTTAAACAGTCTATTTCTGATTCTTCATTGTTTTTCAAAGGTGAAGGTAGTAAGTTCATAGCTCTAGTTATTTATGTAGATGATATTATTCTTACCAGTGCTGATAGGATTGATATTATTAAGGTTAAGAATTATCTTCATGACATATTTAAAATTAAGGATCTTGGTGATTTAAATTTTTTTCTAGGACTTGAGAGTATGATGCAGCTTGCGTGTGAAAGAAAAGTGTGTGTGGAGTGTCATGCATTACGTGTATGTACAACTCATACATATCTGAGTATAGAGAAGTTCTAGAAGCTAAGCTGTCATAAGGTTGTTAGTTAGTTACAGGAGGTTGTTGTAGTGTTGTATAAAACCATAAGGTTGAATACTGTAAATTCATTCAACCTATTCAATCAAGAAAATATTCACTCGTGTTCTTCTTTTGCATTTCTTCAATATTTCAGCATGGTATCAATCGTCATAAGTTCCTGGAGCCTCCTGTTTTCTTGCTGCGTAACTCAGGGCGTTCTTGTTAGTTCATCGTGCTTGTTGGCGTAGAAGATGGTCAAGCTCATGGAGAACGTAGTCTCCGCCATCCCTATCCTCGACGAACTCACCGTCGAGGAGCGAAACCTCCTTTCCTTCGCTTACAAGAACGTGATCAGTGCTCGCCGTGCCTCCTGGCGGATCATCTCCTCCATCGACCAGGAGGAAGGACGCGGCAACACCGACCACGTCTCCGTCATCCGTGAGTACAGGGCCAAGATCGAGGCCGAATTGTCCGAGATTTGCGTCGGAATCTTGAAGCTCCTCGAAGAGAAGCTCGTTCCGGCCGCTGGGACTGGTGATTCCAAGGTATTTTACCTGAAGATGAAGGGAAATTACTATAGGTATCTGGCTGAGTTCAAGACTGGCGATGATCGGAAAGTGGCTGCCGAGAACACGCTCACTACCTATAAATCTGCTCAGGACATTGCGACTGCTGAGCTGGCCCCAACTCATCCCATCCGATTTGGATTGGCTTTGAATTTTTCAGTCTTCTACTATGAGATCTTGAACTCTCCCGATCGTGCTTGCACTCTTGCGAAACAGGCTTTTGATGAAGCCATTGCAGAGCTGGAAACGCTTGGAGAAGAGTCATACAAGGACAACACTCTCATAATGCAACTGCTAAGGGATAATCTTACTCTCTGGACTTCGGATGTGCATGACCAGTTGAGGAGCCGTAGCAGGCGTGTTAAACCGGCGGTGGTCCTATTCTTCATCTGAAGGAGTTCGTGGTTTACTGCATCAACTGTTTTTTTTTTCAATTTGGTAAAGCAAAATGGCTATAATTACTTGGGGTGAATTTGTAATAAGTATGATAATATAGGCCTTTAGAAAAAAAAATTATGTCAAGTAATATTGTATAAAAGGATGAAGAAGAAAGAAATGAAGGTGAATAAAAAGAACGAAAGGAGCATCGACACTTTCGATTCAAGTGAACGAAAGGAAGCATCGACACTTTCGATTTAAGTGAACGGACGGAAGCATCGGCACTTTCGATTCAAGTCGAACGGAAGGAAGCATCGACACTTTCGATTCAAGTACGGAAGAAAGCATCGGCACTTTCGATTCAAGTGTTCATCTTTTCATTAAGAAGATTGAGAAAGCAGGGAGAATGTTGAGAGTATGATACAGCTTGCGTGTGAAAGAAAAGTGTGTGCTCGTGTATGTACAGCTCATGCATATATGAGTATAGAGAAGTTCTAGAAGCTAAGCTGTTATAAGGTTGTTAGTTAGTTACAGAAGGTTGTTGTAGTGTTGTATAAAACCATAAGGTTGCATACTGTATATTCATTCAAGCTATTCAATCAAGAAAGTATTCCATTGTTTCTTCTTGTGCATTTCCGCAGTGTTCCAATACATATTAACTAAACAATAATCATTTTCGAGATCGATCAATTGGAAGCGCCCTTGGAGTTGCCAAAGTGACTTAATTTTATTACAAAGAACACTATATCCAATATCCCAGAAACCACCGGGGGCGGTGACATGTGCAAATCCTAGTTTCGAGTGGATTCCTAAACTTACAAGGCAAGGGAAAAAATGAATAGTATTTTTCATAAAACTCCCATCGTAATTACATTTTACTAACCAATTATATCTATGAGATTAGAATTCTACGTAATTGTAGAGAGTAACATCCTAGTAATTACATTTTAGGGTAAACTATATCATTCACCACTTGACGTTTACCCATTTTACTTTAACCATCGATCTTTCGATTTTATCAATCATACCACCTAACTATTTTATTGTTGTAAATCAAACCACTATTTGTTATCATTTAACAGATGAGGTAACGTGGCAATTAAATATTTTGGTATAATTGCACGTTTGATCCCTGTTATTTACATATTCTTTCAATTTAGTCTTATTTTTAATAAAATAAAATAAATTTAATTCTCAAATAATACTAAATTGAGAGAATATGTAAGCAATAAGAACCAAATGTGTAATTATACTAGAATATTTATTTTACTTTGTTAAAATAAGATTAAATTGAGAGAATATGTAATCAATAATGACCAAATGTGTAATTATACCAAAATATTTAACTATCACTTTACCTAATTTGTTAAATGGTAACGGTTAGTAGCTTGACCGGTAATAATTAAATAATTGGTAGTCTGATTGAAAAAATTAAAAACTATAATATTTATATTAAAAAAACATAAAATTAGTGTACTTATATTTTATATTCATGTTAGTTTTATATGTTTTTGTCACGGTATCTTTTGTCTTGTTAAGTGGTGTCAATTATGTGCTATTGAATGTGATGAGAACAAGATTTGGACTTTAAGCTCCAAATTCCCATGTTTAAGGAATGTTAAAGTATAAAATATGTAATATAAATAAAACTATGGGTAAAGTATATAAATAGTCACCAAACTTTTAGGATGCTTACATTTTGATTATTCAACTTTTGAAACTTGTAATACAATCATCAAACGTTTAGTTAATTTTCATTTTCGTCCTTGTTGTTAAAAGGTTAATTTTTATTGAGGTGGCACTTTAACCCCTCGATTTTCTGACGTGGCAGCAGCTTCTTCTTCTTCTTTCTTCTTCTCTCTTCATATTCTTCTTCCATCTTCCAAACCATGGGTCTGGTTGTTCGCCTTCTTCTTCTTCGGCCTCGTCGGGATGTTGAGGTTGGGCTGGAATATCAACACTTTGATCCCATTCTCTCCCGACCCAAACCCATGTCTCCAGACTCAACAAAAACCACGACTCCTCGGTGGTGGCCGCTAATAATCTCGGTCAACCCTCTCACGAGGAATAAAGCGAGTTTTGGAAGCATCCCGATGGGATAGGTTACCAGCTGTGTTTGGATTTCAGTCGCGAGTACCGAAGAGCCAGTGAGGCCATTGTGAAAGACAGGAGTAAGTACTTGCTAGTGGCTGTTTCCAGTGGCATCAGTCAACAAAGGAACCAAGTTACGTTGCTATCAAGATTCTAATTTTTCATTATTTAATATCAGGTTGCATTTCAAGCTCTGAAATTTGCTCCGCCAATCCTTGAACTTGGCAACAAGCTGGCCCAGAGAATGCAGCAGAGTAAAGGACCCTACCTCGCTCTTCATCTTTGAATGGGTAAAAAAGTGGTGAAAAAAGTTGCAGAACCAAATGTTCTTGTGTACTTAAAATAATCCCTCTGTAACTTATTGGAGTTTGGAGGTGAAGCTTCCGCTTCAAAAGCTGACGTGGTTTTTGGAGTTTGGAGATGAAGCTTTTCCATGCCTTCTTGGCTGGAGGAAACCTTATGCACAAGCAAGACATGAGCAAAGAGATGGAAAGATGGTCTGGAGAGATTTGCAAAAGGATATTAAAATGTCTTATTTATAAAATGAACCGTGGCGTTGGAGTTCATCAGTACGCCCCCTGCTCAAGGTCGCGACACACGACGGTCAACCGGAAAAAAACATTGAGAGGAGGGAAACAAGGCTGATGGATTTTATGGTGGAATCTGAAAACTCAGCAGCGTCGGGGAGATATCGACATGGAAGCGACTCTGGTTGAACAGACAGCGTGCACCAAGATTTTAGTACAGATATTGGTCTATTTCCCTTCCAACGGCAACTATGCAAAATCTATCAGGTTTTTCTTGGCGTATCCCGCGATTATGTAAAGATTTTGTTAAAGAAAGCATTCGGAAGGCCATTGATTTAAAGTTGGGACTTGGGATAGAGAATGCCATTATTCTATGTTGTAGAGCTCATACATTTTAGATTATTTTTCACATTAATGATATAGCTGATATTAGGGGTGAACAAAACTCGGCTCGACTTGAAAAATCAATTTTTTCGACTCGACTCAACTTGAATTGACTTCGAGTTGTAATTTCATAAACTCGACTCGACGCGGAAAAATTTCAAGTTCAAATTGAGTTGTAAAACGAAACTCGAATAACTCAAATTTTTTAGTAATTAGTAGATTAATTTTCAAGTTTGAGTCAAAGTTTGAATCAAGTCCCTCGATTTTGTATGGTACATATGTTGGGGAAACCAGATTATTTCCCACACGAACGTAGTTTCAAACTTGATCTGAAATGTCAAGATCAAAACCAACAAAGGTTGCACAACGGACAAACCCATTAAACTATTGAATATTGAAACACAATGGAAAAACTGAATAAAGAACAATAAAGGAGAGAACACACCAAATTTACGAGGTTCGACGAGAATATCGTCTACTCCTCGGGCACCACACCGGATGATAACTTCACTATCAACAAATATTACAACAAATGAAATTCTTTAGAATTCTCAAAGTGAGAGAATGAAGAAAACAAAATGGAAGAGAGAACTTGTTTTTGGGATGATTTCTAATGAAATACTTAAGCCTATTTATAGTTGAGTTTTAAGGACTAAACTTATAAATAACCTAATATTTTTTGGACCAAAGATGAAATTACCATGTGCAAAGTTGGCCACCTACCAACGATGAATTTTCTAACTTGCCAAATTTGACAATTTACAAGCCAAACATAACAAATCTCCACCTTGGCTTGAAATTACCAAGCCTACTCAACTTCTTCAACTCCCCAAATTTGATGTTGTGCCTCTAATTTCGCACACAAGCGCCATATACCCGAAGGTGCTCAAACTTTCAGGATGTTAATCAAGTTCAAACAATGATTGAACTTGATTATTGTTACTACCTTGGTCATCATATCTGCAGGATTTTCTTCTGTCGCAATTTTCTGAAGTAGAATATTTCCTTCTTCAAAGATCTCACGCACAAAGTGATACCTCACATCGATATGCTTAGTCCTTTAATGGTAGACTTGATTTTTTGCTAAGTGAATAGCGCTCTGACTGTCACAATGTCCCAAGTCTTCCATCAACCCGTTAAGCCAAATTGCTTCCTTCACAGCCTCTGAAACTGCCATGTATTCTACCACTGCAGTAGATAAAGCCACAGTAGATTGTAAGGTAGACTTTCAACTTACTGGGGCTTTAGCAAGAGTAAACAAATACCTAATAGTTGATCGACGCTTATCCAAATCACCAGCATAGTCAGAATCAACATATCCAACCACACACTGACCAAGTGTTTCATCCTGTTCAAATATTAAACCAACATCCACGGTTTGTTGGAGATACCGTAGAATCCATTTCACAGCTTGCCAATGTCCTTTTCCAGGATCATGCATGTACTTGCTTACAACTCCAACTGCTTGTGAAATGTCAGGACGCGTACACACTATTGTATACATCAAGCTCCCAACTGCATTAACATATGGAACTTTTTTCATATACTCTCGTTCTTCGTTAGTTTTAGGAGATAACTAAGAACTAAGTTTCAAATGAGAAGCCAATGGGATACTTACATGTTTGGTATTTTTATTCATACCAAAACATTGTAATACATTTCTCAGATATTGCTTCTGTGTTAAACAAAGCTTTTCTCTCTATTTATCTCTTCTTATCTCCATACCAAGAATCTTCTTGGCCTCACCTATATCTTTCATCTCAAACTCTTGATTCAATTGAGCCTTTAATTTGTCTATCTCCCTTTTACTCTTCGAAGCGATCAACATATCGTCAACGTACAAGAGAAAATAAATGAAATATCCATCTTTGAGCTTTTGTAAATACACACAATGATCATATTTGCTTTTAGTGTACTTTTGCCTCCTCATAAAGCTATCAAATCGCTTGTACCACTGTCTCGGAGATTGATTCAATCCACATAGCGATTTGTTCAACTTACAAACCCATTTCTCACAACCACCATCTTTGTATCCTTCTGGATAAGTCATATAGATCTCCTCTTCTAAATCACCGTGCAAGAAAGTCGTCTTTACATCAAGTTGAGTTAGCTCCAAATTCAACTATGCTACCAAGGCCAACAATATTCTAATGGAGGAATGCTTCACAACAGGGGAAAATACTTCATTGT